CTGTGGTAAACTGCCCGGATTTCACATATGCTGTTTGTCAATACGGACCTTCGTGAGTTCCGCGCTGTGATTGTTATTATAACAGAATTGGCTTACGCATATGCGATTTTTAGCGGTAATATCATCAATAGCCTAATCTACACCATTGGCGATCCATGCACTGGCTGTCCCACTACGAATACTTGCAGCACAACGGAAGGATTGTGCAACGTACCATGAAAGAGGAAAAAAATCATCAAATATCGATAAATGTAGAGACGAAAAAAAAGACAATAAGACGAAAAGACATGGACAAAAATGAACAAAAGAAAACAGTGTTAAATAAAAGAAACCAGAAGGTTAAACAAAAGAAAATTCATTATGTGCCCATAGATTACGCCAAAAAAACCAAATTTGGAAAATTGTTACTTCCGTAGATGAACAGCAGCAGCGACAAGAAGATTCTAAAGAGACTTCTCGTTTGCTTTCAACAAGACATGCTTTATGTTTTTTAAGGCATTCTTTGAAAATAATTTTAAGGTGCTTGATGGAAAAGGTGCAAGCGTTTTTTGGTTTAGTTTCCAGGGTAAAAAATCAGTAACTTCTGTAGATGAGCAGCTAGAACAAGGGTGAGAGTGTCATTGTGACTGTCTTGCATTTAATTTTAGGAAATATATATTTGGAGAAAAACTGTTCGAAGAATTCCCACTGCCAACATCTTTATATTTCTTTTCTTCCTGCCAAATAAGTCTAATTCACACTGCTTAAACTGGCCGTTCTAGAATATGCCGAATAGAAGAGGAATAAAAGATTTCTCAGAGTACCGTAGTAGAATAACGGCCTTGAGATATGAAGATCTTAGACTCAAACTCGTCGATGCAATTTGTGGGCTATGGTACTTTATTCATTTCCCATGTGAAAAAAAACACTTCCAGAGAATCAATGTTTATCGCTTCGTATTCATGTTGTTCAAATGCAAATATCAAATATAGTAAGTAGTCACTTACAAGTGCACAAAATATAAAATAATTGTGACTGACTTCCACAAAATGGATAAAATATAGTCTAGAAATAGTCGTTTAAATTGAAGAAATAAGAACCATTGTGAATGGTCACCGCTTTAGGCAAACGATATCGTACCCTTTGATATCGCTTTCTGAAGTTCATCATTTGCAAAATTGCAGCACAAAGAAGTTTACCAAATTACCCGTTGAGGTGCGACAGGCTGAAGTGACGCCACAGCTGTTCCAGAGTCGGAGACTGACACTGAAATAATCAATTTAGTGTTAAAACGGCATTCGGTCGTCAATATGTACTACCTTGGACACTCCTTGGATTCAGTTTTAGGGTTTCTTCGTCGCTGGCATGGCCAGTACGCCAAATTCGTCGAGCTTCTGCACACCAATTGGTGACGCAGCATAGCAGACATAGTACAGGAATCACTACGCCTGTAACATCAACTCTCCATTTATTCCGATCGCAAACAACAGTCCTTTCGTTAAAAGTGGTATTGTTAAGCTTAAAATATAGAAGGAAAAAGCAAAAGTCCAAAAAATTGTAAATGAATATACTCGCTGTAAAGTTGGTTCCTAAAATTTGCACCAAAGGTGCTAAAAGTTCACCAAAAAATGTTTCGAACAAAGTTTCAAATATGTTTGTATTAGGTCGCGCCGAAAACTGTCGTTTAATTTTTGAAAAATCGTAACTCCGCGCACTCTCAACGGATTTGCTCATGCTCAATTTTATCAGAAAGAATAAGTCCTTTCTCTTTCGAACACTGTTTTGCGGAGCTTCTGTTTCGTACTGACTGCATAGATAAAAGGAAAAGTAAGACCATGTAAGTTTTAATCATCTCAAGTTAGGTCACCAAAAATTTGGAATGTTGCAAAAAAATTATTAGTATAAAAGTTTTATGGCTCTTTGTAACTAAGAAAAAAATGTGTTGTTTGGACGTCTCTGCGAAAATTTATAAATTTCGAGTCTACAATAGAAAACGCCAAAATTGAGTGAACTGTCACTTTTCTCGAAAATTATAACTTTCACAGAAACGCCCGAACAGCACACTTTTTCCTCTGTTACGAAGAGCATGTCATAAAACCTCTATACTGACGATTTCGGAT